GGTGATTTTACTGCAAATGACTGACTTTGGCTGAAAGGTTATACAGGACAAGCCAAACTTTTCAGTAATGGGTACTGTAGATCCGGTGTAGGGTAGACTGTGTTTACGGTGCTCTCTGCTCAGTTAAGTTAAAGGTAGGAGTTATTTATATTATCTTTTTTACTGGCTAATGGTTTAAAAAGAGCCCACAATGACTCATGTAACATCTGCAAGACCACAAGGAATAATAAATATCAGAGTTTGCTGCAGCAACACAGGTCAGACGATCACAGCCTGTCCACAAAGAAAAATCTACTGCAGCTTACAGTAGAGAAGATTAAGTGAATTATTTTCCAGTGAGTCATTTCACCGCACTTCCATCAGATCTTAAGGCGTGCACACCTGCCAAATCCCACTTTAACCCCTGACCACATGGTATTTAAAAGAAAGAAAAAGAGTCAGTCAAACCAAACCAAGATGTGGGAGACACTTCATAAAACACGGTGTGAAAGTGGCAGCTGCAGGGGTCTACGAGGCTGCGATGGCTGCAAATGGATGATTCTTAAAACAAACAAACAAAGATTGAAGGACATCATATCAATATGTAGTAAACGTAACTCTCTAAACTTTCAAATTCATTGATTTTACACTTCATTTTATCTCTAAAGGTTTTGCTGAAAAACCTTAAATTTATTGGGTGAGTTCAACAGATTGTGTAAAATACAGTAACTAATTTAAGTCGTCGATCCTTATTTCCTTTTGCTGGAGCCATGTCTGCACAATGATGGCAGTTATGTGGAATTATCGGGTGGGGCTTTCTCTCTGGCTCTCTCCAGGCTGTCAGAGTAAGAGAAATCAAAGCAGCACTCCCTTTCAGTCTGCGTGAAGAAGCTGATGGATGCCGCCGGAGCATTTGCAAACAAACACTCACACTCACTTATAGATCCGAAATGTTTTGTGGATTCTGCTGGCACTAATGGATGCAAGCAACAAGTTCACAATTCACACTCTTAATGCATTTATAGTGAACTGGAAAAATAGCGAAATACAATTATGTGCATGGAGCAAAAAGTTCTTTTCTGTTTAGACTGACTACTACTGCAAGAATACGATTAAAATGAAAAGGTTCAAATGCTTTTTTTCCCCTGAACGTTTCTCTTAATGTGGTGATTGTACAGAGCAACCGTTTTTCCTACAGTGGGAGTCTTGCACACACACACACACACTGGAGGAATAACGTTTGAGGGTTTCGTGTATTTTGGGGAAACTGGAGTTTGTTTAGTGCTTTCCTAAAGATAAAAACAAAAACAACAAAAAAAACCTATTTGTTGGAGCTCCTGGAGCTCATAATAAAATTAAACTGCCACGAGTTAGTGTTGGATATATTATAACTCTATCCTACTTTATCAAAGGAGCCTTACCTGAGTCCGTGTAACGGGGTCTGGCCAGATCCCTGAAGTAGTAAATGAAATCCAGGCAGTTGTCGTCCTGCACCTCTCCCTTGGAGCAAAGGTCCGAGAGCAGTTCCAGCGCCTTTCGACAAATCTCATCCTCTCTTTCTGCAGGCATTGCCCTCCAGCATCCTTCTGGCTGGTCGGCCACTCCGGCTGATCCTCCACCTCTATCTGTATCCTCCTCTCTCACACACACTCAGTCACACACCACCTCTAACAGCGCAAAGACGCACGACGGGAACCGCGGCTACACCCCTGGATAGCTCCGGTGCGCATCCGTCAAAATCCACTGCAAACCGAATTTCCCGGAGTTTAATTGTTTTTTAAGTAAAATCAGAAGGTTTTGGCCGCGATGGGAGAAGTTTTCACCGGCTTCTCTCTCTTTTTTTAATCCCTCTTCTCTCCGTGTTGTTAAGCGATGAAAACGCGGCTCCAAATCGGCGCGCGACTCACGTTGTTCACCTCCTTTCTTTTGAAATTTCCTTTTCTCTTTTTTCCCTTTATTCCTTCCTTCTCACCACCACTGTCTCCTAAGCGCTGCTCCGCTGCTGCTGAATCACTACTGAGCCTCCAGGCTTCAGTAGCGCCAGTCAAGGTCTTTGAATGAATGCTCGGCTTTCACTGCACTCAATTATTTCTCCACGCACTGGGACGCAAAAAGACAGACAGGAAGTTCTGCCTCCATCAGCGCCCCCCTTCCCACACCAACGAGAAGTCCTTTGAGGAAGAAAAGCCGCCAAGAGATCTGTGTACCTCTTCTTAAACAACGGAAATGTCACGGAATCTCACCCTGATTATCTCCTTATTCTCTTTTATCTCATGCGTAAAGTCAAAGATCGTATTCCTTTCACCAGGTAATCACATGAGTAATGTGATATCCGCTTGCGCTCCTGGGTAGCAGATGTAAGGGGCTCAAACACCTGCGAGGGCCCACATGTACGAGCCTGACCTTTACTGATGGAAGTAATGAAGGGCGAGAACGACGGATAAATGTCACATTAAAGCCTTGGCTAATAACGACCTCCACATCTTAGCCTCATTCTCTGTGTTTAGAAAGTGTTAGAAGAGAACCTTTCAGTATCTACAAAGTATATTATATTATATTATATTATATTATATTATATTATATTATATTATATTATATTATATTATATTTGTTGAGGGTGTTTCAGTTGCAAACCTGGAATAAAACCGTTGTAAAGAAAGAACCCAGAAA